TGTTTTTTAGGGATCCAAGAGTTTTGTAGTTCTCGTCAGTCACATAATGAGAACCTCATCAGTTCCTGAATGGGATGGAGCCAAGAGCCAGCTGCTAACTACAGAACTGGCAAACTGAATGTCCAGCTGCACTTGGTGAGCTCAGACAGGCCGTATCTGGTCAGTGGGGACTGGCAGGGCCACAGCCACCAGATGCTGACAGGATTTGAAGTCACCTCCTTAGGACACTTTAATCACCTGTTTGCCTGTTTCCTCAAGATCAAAGGCACTCTGCGTCCAGGGGCCAGTCACTGAAATAAAGCCGTCTCCCTGAACCTGTCCCTCAGCCCTGTTTTCTGGAATCCCAGGGACTAGGAACCCTCTGGGTCACAGGAGTCCAAGGAACTGTATCTGCCTCATGTCTTAGCTTGGGGGTGGGGTGGGGGACTCTATCTCAGAGGCCACAGTTGTTCCCAGGAGGAGGGAGAATGACGCAGCCTCTGCCACACTGTTCTCCAGCTCTAGTATCATGCTGGGATTGTTGGGAATTCTTTCGCTAGGGGCCATCAAAACCCCTAGAAAAGCCTATAAATCACCCATGGGATGATGGGTACCCCAAGACATCCCATAATCCCCAGGATCCCAGCAAACCATTTCCTGGCACTTTGAGAGATGGTTGTAATTGTCCTGACCTCAGGCTCTAGGACTAAGATGTACATCTGGGAGCTGCTGAGGGAAGCCATTCCACACCACTGTGGCATGACAGTACAAGGGGGGCAGCCCCTCCCCTGTCCTCCCCTTCCCCTTTACAAGTATTCTCTTGGGGTGTGTTGGGGTCCCTGTGAGGCAGAGGCCATCTTTGTGAAGGTTGATGGGTTCTCTGCAGGCCCTAAACATTGGGGTTCCAGCTTGGACTTGCTCCAGGTCAACTTGGAGGACTGGGGAGAGTCCACCTAGGCCAGTGGCACAGCTGGTCAGGAGCTGCATGTCCCACAAGTGCCCAGGCCTCTGAGCTGCAGCCATTGCTCACCTAACGCTGCTGGATGTCCAGCCCTTCAAGCCTGGGTTTCTGAAAGTCACCTGGGGAAGCCTGCAAGGCAAGAAGAACCATGACTGTCCCAACAAAGAGCAGGCTCTGGAGAGACCCATAGCCACAAGCAGCATCGATTGGACCACCACACAGCAAACATGTCAGACCAAATGCTCACCTACCCCTCCAAGAAATATTTCCTGGCTTCAAAACCAAAACAAGGCTTTGTCATTCTTAATTCTGTGTGTGCATGTGTGGTATGAGTTTGTGCGTAAGTGTGTGTGTATTGTTTTTGTTTTTCTTTTTTATAAAACATGGCTTAAACAAATGACACCCAGGGGCTGGAGAGATGCCTTCATGCATGTGTATATGTGCACGCCCGTGCACTCCATGATGAATATGTTGGGTCAAACGACAACTTTTGGGGAGTTCACTCTTCCACCTTATTTTTAAGTCAGGATCTCTCTTCTGTCTCTGCACTGTGTACTCCAAGCTAGTTGGCCCATGAGCCAACTACTTCTCATCTTACCCCAAGTGCTGCTTATAGATATTTGCCACCACATCTGGCTTTTGTGGATTCTTGATTGAATTTAGGTTATCAGGCTCCATATCCAGTGTTTTTATCCACTGAGCCATCTTCTGGGCCAAATCTGCAGGTTTTGTTTTAATTACTTAATTTTATGTGTGTATTTTGCCAGAATGTATGTGTGTGTAATGAGTGTGCCTGGTATCTGGAAGTCAGAAGACAATGTCAGATCCCCTGGAACTGGAGTTACAGAAAGATGACTGAGCTGCCATGTGGGTGCTGAGAACCCGATCTGGGTCTTCTGCAAGAGCAGCAAATGCTCTTAACTGCTGAGCCATCTCTCTAGCCCCCAATTCTATAGTTTTACATATCACATTAAACAGCAGTCACAAGGTGTCAAACATTGTCCTTACAGACAGGATGGTGGGTGCTTGTAGCTAGGACCAAATGGGGAGCTAGTGTCTCAAGGACATGCTGTCCCTAGAACTAACTTGTCTTTTGTGCCTTTTAAATTTTTGTTTCTTGAGATAGGGTCTCACTTAGTTCCCTGCCTGGACTGCAACTCATGTAGCCCAGGCTGGCCTCACACAGAGATCCACCTGCCTCTGTCTCCAGAGTACCAGTATTAAAGGTGTACACCACCACACCCAGCTAGAACTATATATTGGAAATAGTCAACATGGTAGGTTTTACATATGTACACAGTCAAACAAACAGAAATAGTGAGCTGGCTGGTAGGCTTAGAAAATGAAGTTGCCAACAGGTGCCCTTCACTCTGAGCACCTGGGAGAAGGGGTCCAGGGAGCAGCTCCGTCACTCACCGTCTGAAACACCGTCTGTGACAGAAAGCTGGCTGCAACTGTGCTGATGTCACCATCACCTCCCATCTTACAAAGGACGTAGCCATAGAGGTTTGCAGCTTGGAGGGAAATGCCAGCAATCACAAGAGCCTGCATTGGACAAAGCAAAGGGAAGCCTCCTGAAGTGTGGACTGAGTGGGAAGGGTGGCCATGGCTGCTCTGTCCCAAGCAAACACTCCTAAGCAACTGAGAGCCTGGGACCACTGTCTTTCCCCAGCTCAGACAAGCTGAGAGACAAGCTGCCCAAAGCCGTGGTGTTGGTGGAGGCAGAAGCCGGACTAGAGTCTGCTTGCCATGACAGTATTGTTGCTACGGTGTCCTCGTTGAGTGGACAACCTTCCCAAAATAATGAGTACTGTCAGCTGTCCTATCCAAGAAAGGTTGTTTGTTAGTAACAGATATCACACTTTTTATAAAAACTCCTTCCTGGGGGCTGAAGATGTAGCTCGGTGGTGGAGCACTTGCCTAGCTTGAACAAGGCCCTTGGGTTCCCTCCCCAGCACCTCAGAAACAAGAAATAATTTCATATTGGCATTATTCATCTTTATCCATTAATCAATGAAATAATGTGGCATACCTATACCATGGAATATTAATTAGTCATGCAAAGAAAGTGTACTGATACACACTATAGTTTGGATGGACTTGAACATGTGGTAAGTGAAAGAAACCACTTAGAAAAGAACAAATAATACGTGACTCCATTTATAGAACATCCTGGAACAGCAATTTTATCTAGGAAGGTAAGTGCCAGGAGCCAGGGAAATGGCATAGAGGGCAATAGCTACAGAGTATAGATTTTCTTTGCATGGGGTGATGAAAATACTAAAATGGGCTGCAGAGTGGGCTCAGCCACTAAGAGAACTTGCTGTTTTCGTGGAGGATCTGTGTTTGGTGCCCAACTCCAGGGGAGCTCACACCCTCTGGTCTCTGGGCACCTGCACTTGCTGCACATACCACACACACACACACACACACAGGCACAATATAGTAAAGTCTTTAAAATTATAATAGTTTTTTGAGATTGTGATGGTTACATAACTATAAAAATGACAGAGGCCACAATATGGTCCCCTAATGATGAATGTATCACTGTGTAGTCATCTCCATCAATCTGTTAGAGTGACCTCTGAGTCAGACCACTTCTAGCCCTGGTGTGTCACAACAGGAGGAGGGTCAGGGTGCGTCTTACCAGCCACTTCAGCTTCAAGGAGAACAAGGTGCTGAAGAAGAACACAATCCAGATCACTGGGCAGATGATGAGACCCAGCCAGAAGATGCGCGCCTCGGCCTCAGTGGCAGCCATGTGGCTTGGGGAGACCTGTTGGGGACAGCAGTAGTGTGTGTGTGTGCACGCAAGCACGCGCGCGCGTGTGTTTCTGTTGTTTGTGGTTTCTCTGTATAACATCCCTGGCTGTCCTGAAACTTGCTCTAGACTAGCCTGGCCTTGAACTCACAGAGATCCACCTGCCTGTGTGCTAATATTAAAGGCTCACACCATCATCATTCAGCTTGTAAAAATACAAGCAGCTATTCTTGCTCTTACTTGCTTTACTGCTGCTGTGCGCATTTCACAGAGGAGTTGTGTAGGGCGGGGTCTGGTACACACTCGTAACATCCCTGGCTGTCCTGGAACTTGGGCAACCTGTGTAAATGTGACACGGTGTTCCCATTAGTTTGTCTTGTCTCAGAGCATACCTTTTTGGCTTCAAATATCCAGTGGCTTTTTCCATCCTCATCTATCTGGTTCCACCATCGAAGACCCACCATGAGTCTTCCAGTTACATTCTGAGGAAAGTGAGCAAAAGGGCTGTGAGCACACAAGAAACAGAATGGCTAATTGTTTCTGTAATGGCCTTCCTATGTCGGTAGCCGTGAACCCTCAAGCTTCCCACCTCAGTCTCTTGAGTGGTGAGTATTAGGTGTGTGTGCCAATGAACACATTTAATGTTCAGTGTGAACCCCCACAGAGAACATGAAGAGAAGGGCGCTGAGCTGGTGAGACGGCCGTGGGTGAAGGTGCTTTCTGCCAAGCCTGATGACCTGAGTCAGTCCCCACGACCCTTATGGTTGAAGCAGGGAACTGACCTCTGTAAGTTGTCCTCCGATCACATATACATTATGGCACATGTGTGCATGCACACACAAAAAAGAAAAAAAGTGGAGAAAGGATGTTGAATTGTAATTATTTCTTGAGGGAGCTTTCCAGGCTTCTCATCTTTAAGCTTTTGTTGTTGTTGTTGTTTCATTGTTTTGTTTTTGTTTTTGTTTTTGTTTTGAGACAGGGTCTCTCTTGTTGGCCCAGAACTTGCTATGTAGACCAGGCTGGCCTCAAACTCCGAGATCCGCTTGCCTCTTCCCGCCTATACCCATCCCCTCACCCTCTGGGTGCTGGTATTAAAGGTGTGTGACACTATGCCAGGCCCTACCTACTTTGAAAAGTGAGATTCTAGCCAGGTATGGTGGTGTACCCTTGAATCCTCGGAAGCCAGAGACAGACAGATCTTTGTGAGTTGGAGTTCAACCAGAAATACACTGTCTCAAAGTCAAAGACTCTGACCCCAAATAAAGCACATTGTCACATGTTTATACATGTGTGTATATATCATGAAAATTGCACAAAGTCCAAAGCCATATGGGGTCATCACTCCCATGGTGCATTTGTGCACCTATGACAACTGATCCTGGAAGCCACTTAATGAAGTATTTTTGCACTCTAATTGTAAGTGACATGGGCCCAGAAATCCTTTAAAAGGTAAAGATTTGTTTTATGTGGAGGAGGCACAGCTGTGGAGATCAAAGGACAACTTGTAATCAGTTCTCTCCTCATACCACATGGACTCCAGGGCTCGTGCTCAGGTCCAAGCCTGACAACAGGCACGATTTCCCTGCTGCCCCATCTGCTGTCCCCTTGGTGTTCTTTAACAGGTGGCAACAATTTCAACTAAAGCACCCCTGGGTCCTCCATGCAGAGAGGACGTCACCGTGCAGGTACAAGGCCCAGGTCTACTTATAGAGGAAGCCTTACCTTCACAGACCAGAAGTCAAAGGACAGAAGGAGAAGCACAGTGACAAAGCAGCCCACGAAACTCCTGCTGAACCAGTCACAGCACAGGTAGGTGATGATGGCACTCACTCGGAAGAACAGGTGGAAGAAGGTGGCCAGCGGGTGCCTAAGGAGAACCGCAGAGACGCCTCAACTCAGACCCAAGAGCAAGGCCATTAAACACACCTTGGCATCAACTGTGGGGCATTCTGCCCTGGGTGGTTCAGCTCAAAGCTCAGGCAGCCTACTGTGTGCACAAATTAGCACTCCCTGAAGGGACAGTGTCCTGCACCTCAGGCAGGCCTCAAACTCAGTGTGTAGCCAGTGATGGCCCGAACTTCTTCCACCCCATGTGCTCCATTACAGGTGTGCACTCCCACACCCGGTCTATGTGGTGCTGGGGTTCAAACTCAGCCTTGTGAGTGTTACACAAGCACCGTGACCTATACCCCACCCCCTGAAACATGTTATGACACTATCATTGTGTCCCTCGGAGAACCCAGGACTTTCCCCTAATCTGACTCCAAATATCATTTGCCCTCTTTGAAACAAGGTCATCTTTGAAATGAAGTGAGACTATGATTTCTTGTCTTTCCCACCCCGTGGCGACAACAATCAGTTCCCTAAGGGTAAAGTTTGGGCCGTTCCATAAGCACAGATGCAGCTCAGGGAGCAGGGCTCTCAACTTACTGGGCAAGGCAGAGGGCACGCTCCTGGAGAGTGCAAATGATGCCACTAGTGGGGAAGCAGCTCATACCGGCTGCTTGGCAACCAGTGGCAACTGGACACCGCACGCTCCTCAGCAGACGGTCACTGAGCACTGCCTTCAGATGCAAGCCTGCCAGAGAAGGGCCTGAGCCGTGGGAGGCTCTCAGCCTGCAGCAGCTCCCATCCAGAGCAGGTAGCCGCAGAGGACATGTGGATAGCAGTGGGTGGCACTGAGAGGACACGGCTTCTTGCTGTGGTGTTTCCAAACAGCATACAGGCAGAATGCGCGCCAACACAGTGTAGCCATAGCTGCAGCTCTGCACATGCAGAAAAAATTTTAGTAGTCCCTGAGAATAATTCCTGGAATTTATGTTTGTTGTGTTAGATGTTAGGATTGAATAGAGTACGATTACTAGCAGAGATGACTCAGTGGTTGAGATCACAGGCTGCTCTTCCAAAGGACTCGCATTTGATTCTCAGTGCAGCTCACAAGCCTCTGCACTCCTGTCCCATGGGGATTCGATGCCCTCCTTTGGCCACTTCAGGTATTGCATGCATGTGGCACACAGCCATACATGCAGGTAAAACACCTGTACAAGTAAAATAGATGAAATCTCAAAAAAAAAAAAAATCACTGGGAACACACGCGTGGAGCTCAGAGAACAATGCTGTGGCATCGGCTCACTCCTTCCACCTTGGGTTCTGGGGTTAGCACTCGGTGTCAGGCTTGGCCCTTGACTCCTCTCGCCCGCTGTGCTTCTTCAATTCTTATTGAAAGGTGTTTTGATTATTATTATTTTCCAAGCAGAGCCTGATACAGGTCAAACTATGGCTCAAGTCCTGGCTTATGCAGGCTGCTTTCCCCACTCCTCCTGGGCCTCATTTGGTCTGCATCTGGACTTGGGCCAGCTTGTCAATGCCAGGTGAATACTAAGGTGGCCTGAGAGTAGCTTCTAAACTTTGAACACTGTGGCTCAGGCCTTGCGCTTCCTGCTCCGAGAGGCAAATGGCAGGATGATTCCGAGCTGCCTGGGGTCAGCCTTCTGGGTCCTAATTCTCTTTGTCCTTCTGATGATGTACAATTTCTCACACAGCAGTACTTGCTATGCAAGGGTTAGAGTCTGCATTTGATTTCCAGAACCTAAGTAAAGTGGGGAACATAGCAGGATGGTCTGAGGTCCAGTTTCTTCCCCCGCCCCAACTGAGAAAGGGTTTCTCTGTATAGTCCTGGCTGTCCTGGACTCCTTTTGTAGACCAGACTGGCCTCAAACTCACAGAGATCACCTGCCTCTGCCTCCCTAGTGCTGGGATTATAGGTGTGCCCAGCTGGACCAGTCATTCCTACAGAGAAATCCCCGGAAGCTCGTGGGCCTGCTTAGCTGGCCTGTGTAGAGGAAAAACAACATAGTGATTCTCAAAGCAAGGAGGAAGTGAGGGTCAACACCCAAGGGTGTTCTGTGACCCACATGCGGCTTGATGCAGGGACACTCTCGTCCACACATGAGGAAACACTCGTTCTTCTTCTGTGTGAAACAGATACAGTGTCCCTCCCTAGGATCTTGGAGAAATGGCATGGCGTCAGTGTGCACAGTATTCTGAAACACACAATGCTCTGTAATTGGAAACAGCTGTTCTTTCAGCCCATTGTCACTCCAACTGGTCCCACCACCAAGGAACCACAATGAAATTCCCCTCTGACCACAGCTTTCTCTTTGTCATGCTGTGGGGGGCATTTCAAGGGATCTTCCAGGACCCTTATTCCCCCCCCACGTCTCCAAGGGGTCCCTCCTCATGCTCCATAGATGGTATTTTCTACTCAGGATCTAACCCTCCCCCACAAGGAGCCATCAAGAAGCCTACTACCTCAAGGCAAGAGAAGGAAAAATGACCTCAGTGAGAAAAGGGACAGACCCCTGACAGCGTTTGCTTGTTTCCTTCATTCATAAACCCATTTCACAGTTATAAGCCTTGGAGTGGACAGCCACTGCCTCCTCCCTGGCAGGGACACACAGTAGGGTCTCAGGCTGCAGTGTGTGTCAGCCTCACTGCGGCTCTTAACCTGTGCCTGGTAGAGGGATGCACAGGCCGAGGTACCCCCAGACCATAGGATGCCAGTCATACCAAGGAAATAGACTGTGCAGCCACCAGGAGACAGGAGGCATGCGAAGGACCCTGCCAAGAAGAGTCAGCTGTGTGCAGAGGCTGCAGAGGCTGACCACAAAATGGCAATGCTCTGGAAGAGACAAAACTACAGAGATGGCGAAAGGGTCACCCTACCAGGGGTTCTGGGAGGTGAGGAGGGGACACAGGCGGTACACGAGGGCCTTTGGGTCACGAACCTCTTTTCGATATTGTAATGGTAGTACAGGTCGCCACACACTTACCAAGTCTCACAGTATGTCTGACTGGAAGCGAGAAGGAAGCCTTGTGGAGGGCTGGACTTGGGTTAGTAAGGTGTTGGTTCAGCGGCTGTAACAAGTGTACAGCCATGGGGTACAGATCCCAGGCCAAGGGTGGGAGCTGCAGCTTCTGCTTCTCTTCTCTTTACTGAGACAGTATTGTGAATCCCAGCATGGCTTCCATTCCCTATACAGCCAGAGGTAGTCCTGAGCTTCTCACCCTCCCGCCCCCACCTCCTGTGTTTGGGATTGCAGGTACCCACCCTCATTCCAGGGCTTTGCACATGCCGGACAAGCACTGGGCAAACTGAACCCCACGCTCAGCCCACTTCGTTTCCCTGTAAGCCTAAAGTCAGCCTAAAAACAGGGGCAGAAGTTCTAGTAAGGGGGTAGGGGCACTGTCAGTGTGTACAGAGAGAGAGCAGGCAGTAAACGGCCAAGTAAAAGAGCCAAGAAGGCGGTCTCTGCAGAAGGCAGCTGGACCATTTTCAACTTGGCACACGCAGCCCCTTCTCACCAGCTTCCCAGCAGCTCTCAGCGAGGGGTAAGTGCCACCACTTAGTGCAGCAGGGATCTAACATATCTCTGAAAGCTGTTCTTGAGCTGGCAGAGGTGAATGGCTCAGGAGAAGGTGCTTGCTGCCAAGCCTGACAATCCCAGGTCAATCCCCGGGCCTCCCATGGTAGGAGAACCAACTCTTGCAAGTTGTCTTCTGACCTCCACACAAGTGCACTCTCCTGTGCACACATAAAAGAAGGAAGGGAGGGAGGGAGGGAGGAGGGAGAAGCGAGGGAGGGAGGAGGGAGGAGAGAGGGAGAGAGGGAGGGAAAAAGAAGGAAGAGAGGGAGGGAAGAAGAAGGAAGAGAAGGAGGGAGGGAGAGAGAGAGGGAGGGAAGGGAGGGCTGGCTATTTTTTCAAAATTGCACTCAGGATTTATGCTTAGTTTTCTTTGTGTGTTTGCACGTGCGTGTACAGATGCACTACCCGTGTGAGCTTCCATAAAGGCTGGAGGTCAATGTCAAGTCTTTTCTCCAGTTACTCTCTACCTCGTTTTTACTATTTTTAAACATATTGGTTTATTTGCAGACAAGGTCTTACCATCTAACCCTGGTTGGCCTGGAGCTGGCAGAGCCTCTGCCTCCCTAGTGCTGAACTAAAGGGGTTACCCACCGTGCCTCTCTCCCTTTGCAGGCAGGGCCTCTCACTGCACACAGAACTGGCAGTTCTGACTAAGCTGGCTGGCAAGTGAAGCCTTTGGGTCCACCCGTCTCTGTACCCCAGCACTGGGTATAAGCCCGTGCCACCATGCGTGTCTTCTCCATGGGTGCTGGGGATCAGAACTCAGTTACTCACGTGGCCATCATTTTCCCCACTAGGCCATCACCTCTACCTCAGCAGGTTTCTGAAACAAGGTCTTACTCTGTAGCCCAGGCTGGCTTGGAACCTGTAATCCACATGACTGAATCTTCAAGTTCTGTGCATGAGGCAGTACGTGCGTGGGCACAAGCTTGTGCGTGTGCCTGTGCGTGTCTGTGTGTGTGTACAGGGTGTAGATCAGCTTCTGATGCTGTTCCTGTTCTCTGAGAATGCCTCTCACTGGCCAGGCTAGGCTGGCCACATGTGACCCCCAGGCTGCCTCCACAGCCCTGGGAGTGGGAGAGGTCACCAGCAAGCCTCCCCCCTCTCCCCAGAACTGCACAGTTTGTAAGACTGTCTTTGGCATGGATTCCACACCATGCCAATGTTAGTGTCCACCAGCCCAGGGGCAGGTGTGACTGAAGAAGGGCATTGGTGCCTGGCATCATCCTGCCTTGTCCCTCTCCAGACCCGTGTTGTCCTCTTCCACCTTCTCCAGCCACCATGGATCTCAGGATTAGAACTGATCTTTGTGACACGTGACTCGAAACCCCACCCAGCTAAGGTGAGTCTGCGAAACAGACTCCACTGTTGGCTGAGACTGCTGGGTAAGCCGTTATTGTTTTCCTTTCCCAGTCACCTTCCCGCTAACAGTAGCCCTTGAGAGGATGGCATGAATCTGTCCCAAGTGAGCCTGGGAGCAAGGGCTAGGGGACAAGACAGACCAGCCACACGGACAAGTACATCAGTGAGAAGGGCACCGGCTTCACTGTTCTCTGTCCTTCTGTGTAAATTTGAATGAAACAGTAGAACATGAAAGACCACAGGAAGCTGGTCTGAATTTTGAATGGGACACAAGTTCCTTCCAGGCTAGACTAACTCACAGAATCATATTCTGGTGCCCTGGTGGCCCATCTGTGGTAACCAGAAAAAAAAAAAAAAAATCACACCTAAAAATCCCCAACTGGGTAGTTGGTCATTGCAGCTGGATGCCGGAGGAAAATTCCAGAACACAAGTCCTTTTTTCTGGGTTTACCAGTTCCTCTTTAAAAGAGGGGAGTTAGGTGGGGTGGGAACATCACTGTGGGGCACAAATGTCAGCCTCCCAAAAAAAGCAGCACAGTAACAGCCAGAGTCCAGAAGCTCAGTCCTCTGGAGGGGACACAGACTATGTGTGCATGTATGCGTGTGTGTGAGTGTGAGTGTGAGTGTGCATGTGTATTCAGAGACAGGGGGCAACCTCAGCTGCCATTCTTCAGAAGCTGTGCACCTTATTTTTGTGAGACAAGGCGTTTCTCTAGGGCCTGGGGCTCACCATGGGAGCTGGCTTGCTGGGAGCCTCAAGGACCCATCTCTCCCCATTGCCGGGTTTATGCTATATGTACCATATAGGAGTGCACCGCCATGCCCAGGCTTTTCCATGGGTTCTGGGGATTGGCCTTAGTTGCTACACTTTCCAGGCAAGCAATCTGCAGATGGAGGGCTCTCTGGTGCTGAGTTCAGTCATTCTCCACCCGCTGCTCTCCCTGGCCTCCCAGGAGCCTGCTGTGGTTGCAGCATGGATGACCCTCAGCTTGTAACCAACAGCCTTCTTCTACTTCATTTCCAGTATCAGCTCATGGCCAGGAATAAAGCAGGGGTAGGGGGGCACCCAGGTCTGAGGAAACAGTCCCCAGGAGCCCTGGGGACTGTGCATACTCAGGACATGCCACCAAGGCATCTCATTCTTCTCCAAAATAATCCTGGCCAATGCTGTCTCCATCCTAACAGATGACACGGCCTCCTGCTCCTGTCAGGCCTGGATGGGCAGAGTCTGGGGCCATCAGGATGTTGGAGTGGATG